CCCCAAAAAGCCCAAGTTTAACACAGAGGAGACCAGAGCCCTAAATATTCAAAGGATGTAAACCTAAATGTTAAGAAATCTGTGGTAAAACAGATTTAGCCACACTGGGGTAACTGTTGCGACCTGCCTGTGGGAGATTTTCCGTTGCCGTTCGTAGCGGCTGGAAGTGAATAGAAAGGGTTTTTAAGGTTTGTTGTTAAAAACTGTAAGTACCAAAATAAACAATTGAATATTTTTATCTCTGCTACTTCTACATAACAATCCATTCTGGAGTTTAACTCCTTGATATTTATTTATTTTTCATATGCAGATTGTCTGTAGTGTTTGTCTCCCCCGAAAAACTACTGGATCAACTTTTCAGCTGTTCCAGCGGCCCGGTGTGAACGCAGCATTAGAGTTGTGTTTCTCTCTTGACGTCTCCAGATGGCATGGACCACTGCTAACATTAGCTGACATGATAAGCAAACCTTACATGATTGCAACATACTTATTGTTTGCTAGCTCTTCTTCCTGTTTTTCTTTATATCCAAATGTAACCTAAACATACAATGACAATATTTTTTTCATTGCCTGGTTTAATTCACTCCAATAGATGAAAACACATCAAATTAGAATTTACATTTTTATGAAATTTTTAAAGTCTGCTTATAATTTGCTTGGGATTTGGATGGAAACATGGCTAATGAATATGTTTTAGGTGAGTAGATGTTCTGATTATTTGACAGGTTATTGCAGCTTTCCCTATAACTGGCAGAAACAGAACACCCCAAAATCAAATGTCCCTTAGGGCCCCATGGAAGCTTGAACCAGCCCTGGTTTATCATTCTCAGTGAAAAACACCGAAGTTTGTTGTTGATCCATAACAAAATGTGAAAAACTTTAATGTTTTTTTAGGCTCTGTTCATTTAAATGTTCAATGGTACAATTTTGTCTTAATCCAAAAGTTATGAATACATTCTAGTTTCACAGAGCTGCATAGGAAATAGTATTTCATCAAGGAACTGACCGGTTTTAATCATTTTCCTTTTTTAAAACTCGCACCTTTAATGATGCCTCCTGCTGTGCTGAAGAAAAGACAATTCATATGAAAACTGAATAAATGGGATAATAGTCTACATGTAAAGCAACTGAGCATGGCACTGCAGCTTTGTTGACTTATAGAGTTTCTCTAAGGTTTTTCCCTGAGAACTGAGGTAGAAACAAAAGCACAGCAGCATAACAGACGTTGTCGTCATGGTGCTAACCATGTAAACCTATAAAACGATGCTTCTCAAAAGACGGCTCACATTTGAACTTTCTTAATATTACACCTAACACAATGTCTCCGTATTCCTCTCTGCTAAGATCTCTCTTTCTCTTCTCTGCAGTAATGTCACTTCTGCTGTTGGATTCAAGTGCGATTCCTGAACCACACAACAAGGTAAAGAACAAGTTTTAATTTTATTTTTTACTCTTGGTTTGGGTGTTTGAGTTCTGAAGCGAAACAAATTTGCTATTATGTTTCTCTTCATATTTCTCTAAAAGAAGAGCCACACAAACATAAAAAAAAGTTTATATCCCCAATAGATTATAAATTAAATTGGCGATTTTATGATTCCAAAATGACCATCATTGTTGTAAAATTCTAGATTATAACTCTATACATATGGTTTTTTTTTTTTTTCATTTGTCAGGGACTTTTAGACAGCACCGAGCCGAAGCAAATGAGCTCCACTGCCATGGAAGCCGATGTTGCAGCTGGAGAAGACTTTGAACTTGCATCCAAAGATGGACGGGGATTTTCAGACATGCAACCTGGATTTTTACTGGATGACAATACAAGGTCTACTCAAGTGTGGCCGCGTTCCATGCTTGACTACATGAGGCAGCAACTGCGGTTCAGAGGAAGGACAAAGAAAGAAGATATTCAGCTTTTTCATGTAAAATGATTATGATACAATATAGTGAGAAATGATTGCTCAATAAAATATTGCTTGAAAAAAAAAGTATATTTTACTAAATTGTCTGAACATTGATTGAAATTAAAGCTCGACCAAAAAAGGTTTGATATGTTACAGTGACATTTGTAATTATTGGCAGCATTGATTGAAAAAAGAGGATAATATAACTTAAGATCCATTTACTTTTTATTATAGTAACAACGTTTATTTGGAAAAAAAATACATTTTTTACTAGAAACACAGGTGGGACAGTTATTTTTGCCTCAGCTATTGATTCTTTGAATAATCTTGTTTTGGCAACATGTCATTTTCTAAACCTCCTAACAATCACAGCCAGAGGGAATCTCACTACATCAGGGGTGTCCAAATATTTTTTCACTTGGGTTTATAATTGTTCAGACAAAGGTATTCCAGCACAAAAAAAAATAATATAGAAAATACCTGCGAGTGTATTTTGCTTTACCAGTTTCTCAAAATATCTAAGTTTTACTTAAATCATTGAGTCAGACTTTCTAAAACGTTTCCCATATTATAAAACATAGCATATACAGGTAAATACTTTTGATCTTTATTGTTTTTATTTTTTTTTTTTTTGGGTTTCACATAAACATTTCACAAAAGCTGTCTTACATCTCTGATATAAGCAAAGCAAAAACTTTCTGAAATAAATAAAACAACTTGGGAGGTATCAATATTAAAATCTGTGCTGATATTTCCCCATCATTTGGTCACCATGAGAGACCAATCACAGAGCAGACTACGCTTTTCTGCTGCAGGTAGATGTGAGGGACCGAGGTAAAAAGCACAAGGAGTCACAGGAATTAATACAAAAATAGTTTTTATTTTATTTTTTTTAGCCCAAAAAAGAAACTTACAAAAAATACATGGGTTCAAGTCATAAAGGAAAATTCAAATTCCCCCCTTTAAGCAGCAGCTGATGGAACAGTCCATTTTCCACTCCTGCATTTAGCAGATCTGAGCCCCAGCTGCCATCTTTTGTCTGGCCAAACTCCTATACACCATAGGTAAGAAACAGATTAGTGACAAAAACAGAAATATGAATGAGTGCAAACAAATACAGTGAACTAAATGTGCGCACTTACAAATAGAACACATGCATTTGAACCAAGAATAAAGTTTTATTGCAAACAAAAGTATGTGTATGGATTAAATAAATAAAGGTGCATGTATAGTACAAACTTAAGGTGTGGCCATGGGTTTGGCCATCACAGTAGACACTGAGAATTTTGACAACAGTGGAGCTCTGTTGCTTATAGAATGGGTTTTGACGACACCAATATATTTCTTATTCTTAGAAATAAGAACTGGGTCGTTTGCTGTATTTACTCGTCTTTGGCAGTTAAAAACTATGCATATATTTTTTATGTAATTAACAGTAATGCTCTTCCAGACATTTGCAAAGCCTTTTTGGCACAAATTAGACAGCGATCCAGAAAAGCCAAATTATTTGAATGTTGTTTTTATCAGGATAAACTCTAAGAAGAAAGAGCTTAGGACATATTAGATGTTTCAGAGTTTTTCCTCTCAATTAATTCTCTCACCTCCTCCCACAATCTGAATAAATCTGCCTTCTCACATAAAATAACAGAGTTCCCTTACCTTCAGGATGTTTTGTATTGATATATTTTTTGCAGGTTTATTTTTATTTGTTGTATTTAATTTTACCAGTGTCACCTATACCTGCATTAATTATTTATATTGGATTAGTTTTAACCCTATATTTGTTGTTTTGGAATGAGCATCAGCACAGGCCTTGATTGCTCTATGCCCTGATGCATTGATGCAGTAATTCACAAAAAAGAGTTCCAACTTAAGTTCATGGAAATGAACATACAGCACATTTCAACAATTTCTACAAAAGACATTTTACCTCTCAAATTTTAAGTGTGATGTTTTTTCCATCATCTAACAATGAAAAAAGTTTTTTTTTTTTTTTGTTATATTGAATACAAACTGATCTGTACAACTTGGCTTTGGCAGTATAGCAAAATCATTTAAAAAGTACAAAATGATAACAGAATAAATACAAAATATGTACTTTTTAACTTTACTTTTTTTAAGAAAGCATGTTAAATGATACCTACTCGACATATGGAGTTCTTTATCTTGCTTTACCAACTAAAATTTCCAGAATTTTCCCATTGTGGGACAATAAAGGGATTTTCTAATCTATTCTATTCTATTCTTAACTATTACAAACTTAAGAACAGATTATAAGAACTTGGTGTGAGTGGCAGGGAATAATAATTACTTCAATATTATTTATGTTATTCACAATAACCTTAAAATCTGTGCATAGTTATATGTAGGAAGCATCAATTTTTACAGAAAAATCTGATATAACACCTTTAACATTTTTCATCCCTCTGCTCTTTAACTAAAAGAGAAATTTCTACCATTGCATAGATCTATTGAAAAATCTTCATCCAGTCCTCAGTTGTTCATGGTTCAGGTTTGAGCCATCTCCTTGTTATAGCCATTTTAGTTGCTGCCAATAAGATGTTTAGAAGTCTCTCCTCCTCTGAGCCCAGTTTATCTGTTGATATATCACCTAGATAAGTTTCCAAAAGTAAATCTAAAAAACACATGCAAATAATTAAATACTTTATTTATTTTTGAAGTGCTATATACAGAAGAGGAATAGGGCCACTGAAAAAACAAAATTTTACTGATTTTTAAATTTTAATTCAGTTTAATAAGAGAAAAAAAGTCTGAATTCTGAGAATAAAGTCCGAATTCTGAGATTAAAGTCAGAATTCTGAGAAAAGAGTCAGAATTCTGAGATTAAAGTAAGAATTCTTAGAAAAAAGTCAGAATTCTAAGAAAAAACTCAGAATTCTGACTTTTTTCCCATACTAAACTGAAATAAAATTTAAAAATCAGTTAACTTTTTTTTTTAATGGCCCTAATCCTCTTCCGTTGATATAGAATTGGCCTTTCAGTAAATAGTTTTTACGTCGTCTAAAATGTGACCTTTAGAGGTTAAAATAGTAAAAATCAGAAATTCAAGTGACACTCCAATCCAATAGGGGGCGATATTGCCTCTATTCAATGCTTCTCTAAAGCTAATTCCTGTTGCACAACAGTAGAAAGCGGTGAGACTGAACTGCAAAGCGAGGTGAATATCATGCATGTAAACTCATAGCAGTTTACTACAATAGTTCTTCGTGTTTATTGTTACATTTCACAAGATTTATTAATGTTGACTGGCGAACTAGGTATCTATTTGTTACAATATGAATAAGCGCCAAAGCAGTTTTACAGCTAACTTGTAGCATGTTAGCTAAATTAGCCATGGTAGCGTTAGCCTCATTCTAAATATTAATTTGCCTGTCTTTTCGCGTTTATAGGTTCTTTTTCTATCTATACAGTATTAGCATCAATACTCATGTTGCTTTATTTTCAGGTATACGTCTCTTACGGATAAGCTTGTGCCTGTTTTGATTAATTTATATCTTCTTTTTCAATGGATATTAGCTTTTTCATCGAATGCTATATCCCAGGTGAACTCATAGTTTTGGTGTTTTCTTTGCATATTTCCACCCAGTTTTATTTTATTTTTTTTTTGTCCGGGACACTACACAATGAACGTGTTGTAGCTATAAGCTAATTTTCATCTCTAGTCCCTGAGTGGAGGCAGAAACGGCAGGTTTACTGTTAGTAAATCAAAAGAATCCAGATACAAACTTTAAAACAGATCAGATCCACAAAAGCGTGGATAACAAAAAAATATAAAATAAATAGCAAATAAATAATTATTCGTTATAAGAATGCAAGCGCATCTGAGCTCATCAAAGGTCTAATGAGTCATTCATTATTACTGTCGTTGTGTATGTTAAGGTATTTATTTTGTTTTTGCTGTTTTTCATTAAAAGATGGGAGACAGCGATGATGAATACGATCGCAGGAGGAGGGACAAATTCAGGCGGGAGAGAAGTGATTATGATCGTTCCAGAGAAAGAGAAGATCGACGCAGAGATGATTGGAATGACAGGTATTATCAGAATAATGTGGCCATGAGGTCAGAAAGGGTGGCTGCAGGTTTTCTTTCCAACCAAGCAATAGCACAACAAACTCCAGTCATTTCATAAAGTGAGTTCAGTATTAACATGATGACTTGATGCTTGACTGTTATCTGGTGTGTTATTGCTTGGTTGGAAAGAAAACCTGTAGCCACACGGCCCTTTCTGGAACCAGTTTGGATCTGAATTGTGAGGATTTGTCCAGAACCTCATAAAGGAACTTTGTTTTACTACTGTTTGTTGTTAGTAGGGAGCTAAATAATTATAAAGTAGACTAATGTTTGTTTTTCCATCTCATGCTTGATGTTGCAGGGAGTGGGATCGGGGCAGGGAGCGTCGGAGCCGCGGTGAATACCGGGATTACGATCGTGGTCGGAGGGAGAGATTTAGCCCGCCCAGGCATGACATGAGCCCCCAGCAGAAACGCATGAGAAGAGACTGGTGAGACCGAATAAACACAGATGGATGGACCAACATATTTATACCCACGAGGGCATCGTTTATCTAAATAGTTTTAAATGAATTGATAGGGATGATCATGGAGGAGATCCTTATCGTGGAGGGTATGACTTGGGTTATGGTGGTGGAGGAGGTCCAAGCTACGGACCCCCACAGCACTGGGGCCATCCTGACCTGCACCTCATGCAGCCTCACCAGGGCATCCCCATTCAGGCCAGGTAAGTTCAGAAATAATCTTTATAATATAAGGTTTTATGGTTGAAACTAAAAATCAACGAAGAAATGTAACAATAGTTTAATCACAGTTTAACTTTGTGGACATCAAAGTTGTGGTATAATTTTGAAAGCCTCGACTGTATTTTTTTTTTTCCTCCTTAACTCTCCACCAAACTTCTTTCCTCCATTAGACTTGGGAACATCCATGACATGGATCTGGGTCCGCCTCCTCCAATAATGAAGAGTTTTAAAGAGTTCCTGCTGTCCCTTGATGACACCGTGGACGAGACAGAAGCCGTCAAACGCTACAACGAGTACAAGATCGACTTCCGTCGGCAGCAGATGCAGGACTTCTTTTTGGCCCATAAGGATGAAGAGTGGTACGACCTGAGTTTACCTTTGTTTGATGTCAGTCTGATTTAAACAACCAGCATTATGATTATTTTCTGTTTGTAGATATTGAATACTACTTGTAAATAACAAAATTAATTTGTTGCATTTGGATAGAAGCAATCAGAAAATAACATTCAGTTATCAAGCTTCGATTCATTGAGACATTCTCTCAGAGCACACCCTTAACCAACCATTAGAGCAGCTACGTTTTTCTTAATCGGCTAAGCACACACAATTAACAGTTTGTTCTGTAGTTTTTAAAGAAGAGAAAATGCTAATTCACCCAAACTGATTCACAGATTAATATAAGACCATTAGAGATGAAATCTAGTGATTTGCAGCATTATTTCAGAGCTAATATTTATGGACACAAGAGAATTTGATGGCACCTCTTGTAAAGATGTGGGGAAAAATAAAAGCAAATGTTTGTAATAGCATTAGCATAATCTCACACTTACATGTATACCTGAATCTACAGACTAAGATGACCTTGAAGAAAGGTTAATTTTCCATAAAATGACATGATTGCAAATTTTACACTACTCAATATAAGTAGAAAGAAACTTTTATTACCAAATGCATAATGAAACAGTCATGGACAGCAAATGGTTGGAGTGGCAATGCATGCACCTTCTGTGATCTCAGATCAAGATCTTAATGAATCGGATCATTCACGCATGTTGAACCAAGAAAAAAAGTGGAAATATGAGTCTACCTCTAATTTTTGTGTTTATATGGCCAAATGTTTTTGACCATTTTACAGCAGAAATGCCTGACGACACATTTTACTCTTTTTCTGTTGGTGAAAAAGTTTAGTCATCAACACTTGGCTGTAGGTGCTAGTAAGACATAATTAGGGGTTAATGTTTGTTATGGATTCTCTAGCGAGACCACAATACACTTTGCTGCAGTTATGAATAGTTATTATTTCTTTAACCTCCCTTAGGATGCATGATGAGAAGATAAACACTGGCCTTAAAGAAAGAAAAGCGTAAGATCAAGTCAAAAGCCAAAACTTCTGATAGATAGATGTTCCATAGATGATAATGGGTAAAAGCAGTTGTTTTTTTTTTTTTTTTTTTTTTTTTTTTTACACGTTTTTCAATATGAGGTTATGCTAGTGTCATTAAAAAAAAACATCTTCACCAGGGGTGCCAACAAATTGGTGTGCATTTGAATTTGAATGGAGGATGTGATGAGGATTGTAGGTTTCTTTGTTCTGTGATCTTTCTGTTTGATATTAATTCACTTTTGTATATTATTTGTTAATGCTTACTTCACAGGTATGATGCAAAATTGTCTCTGTTTTGATTCTAACCCGTTCTTCTTCCCTTCACTTCTACTCCCAAGTTGACGCCGAATTTTTTTTTTCTTTTCAATTTTTTTACCTTTTCCAAGAAAACAGTGGGATTCCTCCGCCAGAGTCGCTCTTAGATAGCGAGGGCACGCACTGCGCACAATGCAGATGCTTTTAGACTCACAGTACCAGGGATTTTAGATAGATAGCCAAGCAGTCCTCCTCACATGGAGGATTTTTTTGTTTTCCTTTTTATATGCGGATCAAATCGAATCCCAAATCCGAATATATGTGTGTACAGACACACCTCTGTGGTGAAGTGGAGCGCATTTTGACAGAAGAGACCCCCCCTCTCTAAAAATATTTGTTATTAAACTGGCAGAGCAACAGGTAACTGTGGACCACTCAATGATAAACTATATTTGACATTCTGATTCTGTGATTGATTTTTATAATCTGTTGGGTTGTTTTTTCCTTACATTTTTGGTGAGTTATTTCTGTTTCTCTTTCTGCTCTAATGTTCATAGAAATCATTGACAGTCAACGTCTAGGGTTAAGATAACAGAATAAACTTGGATTTAGATTTTTTGTTGCTTAATTTGGCTTTTTAATTATTTCAATAATAGTCCAGAAATCTGCAATGAACTTGTTCTTTAGATCCTCTTAAACTCATCATTCTAATATTTTTTTGAACAATGTGTGAGCGGACGGCTGTGGTTTAGATGTATAATATGTGTTTCTTTCTGAAACTCTACCAACCCTTCATCCCGCCCCCCCATCATTCCCCCGTCTCTTTGGTGGATTCCTACTCTGAACGCAGGTTCAGATCCAAATACCACCCAGATGAGGCCAGCCGCCTGAAGGCAGAGGCTCAGAGCTCTCTCTGCAATCGTCTGAACGTCTTCATGTTCCTGATGGAGAACGGCTGGTTCGATAACGTTTCCCTGGATATCGACCAAACTCCTGCCATCATCAAGGTGTTGGATGCAGGTGAGATTTCTGAGGAGAATTTATAGAGAACAGTTTATGCAGAGATATTAGAAATATGTTTCAACAGAAATATTTATTATTATTAAATTCCTTCACTTCAAGTCTTATGCCGATTATTTGGACATCAGTCTAACCCATCACCGATATTTGCGCTTAATATTTTTGAACCGATTCTTCAAGGTTATGGGTTTTTCTTCCTCAATTTTACATTTAAAATTACACAGTGACGAACATTGCAAAAGTCAATTCATTTAAAATTCAAACAAGACGTTAACAATTCATAGCAAATAAGGGGAAACAGCAGTAAATTTGCTTTACTTGGTCTTAATGCATGGCTGCTGAACGCAATACTGAATCAGCCAATGTTTGCACGTAAAGACAGATAAAAGAAAAAACTATCTGCCAGAAATATGGACGGGCCGATGGATCAGTCTGTCTCTAACATCAGTTTTAAAATATTAAATTATGTTATGTTCTTGAGTACTTAGTAGATCAGGCTCTCAGGACTTGTGTACCGTATTTTCACGACCATAAGGCGCACCGTACTAAAAGGC